AGAAGTTTCTTCATCTTCATGTGTTTCATCTTGCTTGCCCCCAGCACGGCTAGTCTCAGCTTTGTCGACCTTTTCTACCAACTTTGAGATCATGGAGTCTTGATCTTGGACATGCTTCATCAATGCCTCCATTGTTTTTGCCATGGTTGCAAGTTGCTCTTCAATGGTTGATGCGTTCGTCATCATAACAAGTGCCTCCATTGAGAAAGGTGTTGATGAAACATCGTCTCTTAAATCTTCTTCTTGGTTCAAAGGTGACATGATTTCCTCAACTTGGCGAGAATTTTCTTCTAGAGATACACTCTTGTTTTTTGCCATGCTTCTTGTTGTGACACCAACACTTCCGCTTGCAGAACTTGAAGAAGTTGACTTGGGAGGAGCCATTGTTGCACTTAGATATCTTGAAGAAAAAAGATGAGAGGTAGAGATAGTCCCACTGGGCGTGCCAGAAATTTGTAACGCAAAATTCGTATTATTGAATTTATAAACACGAGAACTTCGTACAAATGGATTTCAACGGATCAAATGAAATATAGTGGATTCTAAATCTCTATTATTCCTCTGATTAATTTCTTCAAGAACAATCTTCAAATGGATTTGAGACTTTTGGAGATGAATCTTCAATTTGATCTCCGCCGGTCTTGAATATGAGTTTAAATAACGTTTCTTCGAGGGCTTGACAGCTTGATCTCGAATCGAACGTCTTGATTTCCCAAGAACGTGAAGAACACGAGTCCTTGGTCTTCGTCGCAAAGTTGATCTTCGATCTTCTCTACGCCGGATTTGACTTTAATAACGTAATTCGGAGGCTTGGCAGCTTGTTTCCGGATTGAACGTTGGTCTTGAGCTTGAATGCGTTTGAATCTTCCTTCGAATCTTCAAGAACGCCTTTGGATCTTCAAGAACGCCTTTGGATCTTCAAGAACACTTGAATCTCGTGCAGAGAATTCTCTAGAGCTCTTGAACTTGAAACTTGAAATATGAATATGAATTGTTCTTTTTCACCTTAGGGAGGGTCCCTATTTATAGGTGTTAGGAGAGAGAGTCTTGGAAAAGAAGACTTCATTTTGATTGGTCATAATTTCCAATATTTATTTATTAAAGAGATAATTAGAAGATGGACTCTTGGAAAAGAAGACTTCAATTTGATTGGTCCATGAATTTTCACTTATTTATCTCTTTAATAATTATTTAAAGAAATAATTATTTATTTTACTCTCCAAGAAAATGACATGTGGCATTCTTTAATTGGCCTTCAAAATATACATGTGGCATTCTTTAATTGGCCAACAATATATATTAAATAATCAATTAATTAACTATTTAATTTAGGAATTAAAATTTGATTAATTTCCCAAATAAAATAGAAAATTATTAAATTGATTTTATCATGGAATTTGACACTTGTCGCCATTTTATTGGCACAAAATTTGATTGTCTACAGAGATCTTATTACTTCTGCCACGGGCTTTTCGTTCGAGATCGGTTCTCCAAGAGAGTAGCACTAATTCGCAATATTCATCAACCTAGCCGTGAACTCAGATATATTCTCACTTTCGAGCATTCTTATTGTCTCGAATTTGGCCGCAAGGAGTCGCAACTTTGTTTGGCATACACTCCTTGAACCCTCACAATTCTTTACAAGGTATCCCATGCTCCTTGACGGATATGCATGTGTTGATTAATCAGAACATGGTTTAGTCAACTGCGCCAAAGATTGCATTAAATGCTTTTGAGTTGTAATTGGCTGATGCGAACTATTGCGTACTATAGTCGGCTTCATTTTTCTCTATCTTCACCCCTTCGACTTATACAGTCTCAGGCTCCCATCCAGAGAGTATGGACAACCATGTGCGTTCCTCAATGGATTTAATATATAATATGTCATGCGCATCTTTCATATGGTATAAGTGTTAGAGTAGGGTACCCGGCGTTCCAATCTAATTGGACATATTCTACTTGTAAATACAGTCTATTGGAATTATATTATGAATAAGACATTTCTTTATCTTAAGAGAAAGCATTTATCTTATAATTGCACTTAAGATAAAATCCCTAGATCACTTATGGTTATAAGGTATGGTTGCGCATAGAGATGGTGATCATGGAACATACCTTGAAAGCCGTGATCTTAAATACAGTTCCAAGTCGATGGATGTTTCGAGATGGGATATCGAATAATCCATAAAAGACTTGCACATAGTTTGTATGCTTGTTGGACAAGAATGTTGCATTCCATCAACATTAGCGTAAGACGTAAGTACATTTATGTGGGTGCTTGTTAGAGAACAAGTTCACTGAACATGACCGTATGAAAATTCTTAATGAAGAATTTATTCAGTCGAATAAGAATTTTCATGTTACAATAGTACATGACTAATCCTAAGACTTGAGGCACAATGGTAACTTTGTGCATATTACATTCTACTTTGATTTATCCTTTTGGTAGCTAGCACTATCGTTTAAAGGGATAAGTTGGGTATTATGTTGATATGTATGGAAGTTTGTTAGTGGCCAATAAAGGATTCGACACTTATGAAGATAAGTGAATTTCCTATGTGTTTCATAGTTATTAATCCAAAGTCCTTGGCCAAGGCAGAGATGAATAGTGATTCATAACCGGGTTAATAAACATGAAATAGAATCATAGTTATTAAGTCAATTTGGGTTTCGACAAAATCATACCCAAGACTTAATCGGGAAATTAGATGTCGAAAGGATTTTACATGTATGGAGTTGTAATCGGAATAGGTTTACTCGCTATTCACTTAATACTAGATTCATGCTACTTGCTAGGTGTTACCATGATATGTGGGTTCATAAATTAAAGGGTTAATTCATGAATAAGAGTTAATAAGATTTAACTCAAATTACAAAGTGTTGTAAACCCACTACTAGTATTAAGGTGAACCTAAAAGGTCACACTAATGATGAACAAAGGTAAAGATTGTATTTCTAATGGTTAGAATTAATTGATAAATATCTAATTTGATTAGATATCAATTAAAGGAATATATTAATCAATAAGATTGATTAATTACATTTTGGATATTACTTTAGTAATTAAGGTAATTACTAAATTAATAAAGTTGAATTTTAAAATAGGATTTTAAATTTCAAAAATCCAAAATAATAATAATATGATTATTATAGTATTGGGAAAATGATATAATAATAAAGTCTTGAGAAAGATTCTCAAGATTTATTATCCAATTATTATTTATATCTTTAAATATGATTTAAGGATTAAAATAATAAATATGATTATAATAAAATGGTTGTTGATGGTTGTTTGAACTACTTAACATATCTTATTATTTTCAAAGTCAAAAGTTAGTAAATACTATTTAAATAAAATTTGATTTTATTTAATATTACTAAATGTTGATTATTTTATGCTAAAATGTTTAGTATAAATATATGCAAAATGGTTTTGCATTTAAGTGAAGTTTTTGATCCTAAATTTCTAAGTGTTAGAAAGAGAAGAAAGTGTTCTTCATAAAACTTCAAGAAAGAGTTCTTAAACATCCCAAATAAAATTCATAAATATTCCTATACAAGAAAACCGAGTCTTTTCTACTAGCGAAGGAAAGTCGTCGGAACCGGGCTTCATAGGGTGGATACGTTTAGAGGGAAGACACTTGGATTCCTCTAGCGAGTAACCTCAAGTCGTTGAAGTTACAACCGGGAACCGATTCCCTCATCCATCATCAATAGTGAAGGAGTTCAAGAAATTCGGTAAATATTTTTACTAGTATTTACTTTATAGTAACAAATCAAAATTTGTATATGATGCATGTTTTAAAGATGACGATCAGTTAATTCGCAATTAGTATGTACGGGTGTTGTATTTATACGATAAATACTTACTTTAAAAATTTTAAATTCCGCTGTGTACAGCCCGTACTGTACTATCGAACCCAACAATAAGAGACATCGAGAATCGGAAGCCGAAATAGCGATATTCTCGTGAACTCCATGTGCACCTAACAAATCAGAATCACACTTATTAAATTAAGTGACCTGCTCTGATGCCACTCGTGAGAATTTTAGGTACTAAAATTCTAGATTTTCACACAAAATTTAATTCTTAAATACGCAGCGAAATAAATAAACACAAAAGAAAATTTATCCTACAAGTGTGAAATACTTGTAGACTAAGACAACATGTCAAATATTCAGTAGAACAAATCGAATACAATATTTTTCATATAGTTCCAAATATTCCAACACGTCTAGTGAAAGAGTAAAATATACCAAGAATTCGAACGAGATGTAATATATCAAATCAAACTATAAAAAATAAAAAACAAGTTAAACCCAAGAGTATAATAAAAGAGCAGTAATAAAGAACACAATCCCAGGCTATCTTTGTCAACAAAACTCGAATCTTTTCTTACTTGTTTGGCCTTGAACGTCCCTATCCTTTTTCCTTGGAAAATATGTTGCTCCTTTTTCTTCTCCAAAACAAATGCACACTGCCCTTTTTTTCTTCTTCAAAAAACACGTTGTTGCTTCCCTATTTGCTCTATTTTGCGATCTCTTTTTTCCTTTTTGAAATTTACAAGATATCCTACTCTCTTTATTTTTTTATTTCTAAATAGGAACCTCTTAAAGAAACCAAATAATAAAAAGAAATCATATTACAAATATTATTCTACCAAATATAAGACAAATAAATTAGAAAAGCGAAATAAAAAAGTACAATAAAAAACACATATTTAACAATAAAGAATATGTGTATAAATCCCCTTCACAAACAAGCAGTATCAAGAACTTTACATGCTATACAATATCAACACACACCTATCCCTAACATGAACTTCATTATTCCTACACAAAATTATTAGTGCACATGCCAATCGTACTAAAATCCTTCTGTATTTCTAACATTTCCTTAACCAAAACCAAAACCAAAACAAA